ATTTTTGTGGCGTCTCTTGGGGATCAGTTGGCAAAGGTGCTGCCACCTTGAGCAACCTGGAATGGTCATAGCTCAGGGAGATGAGGGTACAGGTTCCCCACTTCTCCCTCCAGGAAATGTCGTGTTGCCTGGAAGCACAGGCGGATGCTGAGGTGAACTGTGCTCCCCATGCTCAGCCAGCACTGAGTGCAGTAATGCCAAGTTCTAGCTCAGCTACACAGACAGAGCAGCACTTCTTGCAAGGGAAGAGATCCTGCAGGCTCTCCTACAGTATTAAAGTTACAACTTCAGTTTTGAGAAGGTTGGGGGTCTCCTCAAATATCTTGCAAAATGCCAAGAGAATAGCTGTAATGGCCCATCACCTTGACTTTTTTTTTTTTTTTAAATTTTCAACTCCTTTATGGGAAAGTCATATCAAATACATATTCTCCACCTTAATCTAGAGGGAACACTGGAGTCCACCTTTGTTTTTCCATGTAATTTCCTTATTCTGTCTCCTCTGAGTGTAGTGTGTGCGCTATATTACCTAGAGAAGTTATGCCAGAGTAGCAGTGTGTTCGTCTGTGGCGGAGTTTCTTGTCCTAGATGTACAAGATGCCATTTTTAAATCGAGCAATCATCTTCTGCATTATATACCTTAAATAAAACTACATTTATTCTGTCTTCTCACTAGAAGTGGACATCCAGTCTACTGTTTGTTATCAAGTGACTTAGAACATGGAAATCTGATTTCAGAAGGAGGAAAGCTGCAGCAGCATTTGGCCCGTACAGGGAATAGACTGGTGAGACTTCAGAGAGGTGTCAGCTGCAGAGATGGCAGATCAGACTGCGACAGTCCTCTGTACTCAAATACTTAGTGTGTGTTGTCAATCTAAGAACTGCACAGAAGTAAGAAGGGACTTGTACACAGAGGCTGAGGGATTCTAACGTGGAGGAGAAACTTGCATTCAAGAATGAGGTCAGGTGCTTAAATCAGGGGCTCGGAGTTGTGTCCATTCAAACTTTGGTTCTCCGTCAAAATCCACAGTCCAGTAAGGCTCCAGAGAGATAGAGTGCAACACAAGTGGGTGGTAATAACAGTTTTTGAGCTTGGGTTGTTGTGTTTGGTTTTTTTTTTTCCTTCCCAAGTTGTATTGGTGCATCTTGCCTGGATGCAATGTCTTATCAGCACTAACACTGGGACAGCTTTAATATTTCTGTATTAGTGATGACTATGCACATAACCTACCAATGACAGTAGTGGGAAGTGGAAGGGAAGGCTGTAATCATTATACAAGGAGTTTATCTAATTACAAAGCAGGAGGGGACATCTGGAGGGGAGAATCAGCAATTGTTGTAAAAATGGCCTGCTTCATTTAACCATGATGAATGATGGATTGAGTCATTGCTGAACACATTACCACTGCTAACTTTCTGGAGCAGAAAACATGCCTTAGGAAATGAGAACTTCAAGAAGGCAGATTGGGTGATACTAACAGGAAAAGGTTGAATTGTAATCAGTGGTGAAGTTGGCATAATTCATGGCTTGTGATTATTAGCCTATTTTAAAAAAAATAAACAGCTGAATTTTAATAATAATAAAAAAGGTAAGTTACAGAACAAGGCTTTTAAAAAGAAATACAGCTGGGACAATGGCAAACAAAATGATACTTTAGGATATAATAATTAAAATAGCCATCCCAGATTTAAAAACAGAAAGAATGAATACCAAAGGAAGTTAAAGCAGCTACAGAAAATGCAGAATTTGAGTCTTAAATCTTTAATAAGCAATCCAGAAAAGGCCCCTTGTGTTTTTAAGATTATTTTATTCTTCAAAGACTTTTTGAATGCTTTCCATTGGTTATTGAATGAACTAAAGGAGAACTTAAAAATCAACACGTCAATAAACATGGAGGTCAAACTGAGTTGAGAAGGAATACTCAGTAGTGTAATAATACGTAGAGCTGAAGAGAAACATTAAGTTTTCAATTAAGAGGCTTGGTAATCAGTCCAATCAAAGGCACCACATAGTAAATATGTTATTTGCTGCTTTAGTACCTTGAACTGTTTTTAGCATACTCTATCCTTGGAGGAATTCCTGAGTTTTTTCTTGCACGTAAAACTGCCCTTTCATGACAACTGAAATGGAAACCAATTATCTAGCAATTCCAAGAAAACAAAAGGTACACAGATATTAAGATGCCTATCTTAAGCTTCTCAAACTCACACGACTTGAAATGCAATCCTTTTTTGCATGATGCAAGACCTTCCTTTCTAGTTAGATAGCAAAACCTACCACACTTGTAACTCCCACGCTGTTCCAGTTGATAATCAAATATCTTAGCTCCTTCAAATACCCTACATAAATTTTATTTGGCAGTGGCAGAGGTAGTCAGTTATCCCTGAAAAACTACTTGATCATGTACTTAGATAATCACAAACCTGCTTGAGCAGTATAAATCCAGTTTATAGTAGCTGCGAGTAGTATGTGGGCACTGGCTTACAGTAACAGAAGTCAAATGTTAACAGAAATGCCAGAGCAGTGATCTCTGACACTTTAAGTTCAATGAATACTGGAAGAACTGAGCAGTATTGTACCCTTGTACATCCCTAACCGACAACTGAGTAGAAAAGAAACTGCTTGTGAGCTCTCCGTGCCCTAGTCTATTCTCTGACCATTGCTGATGACAATCAACTGCGCTGGGCTAGATGGAGCATTCACTCTGACTGTTGGGCACTTGCGTTGTTCACTCCTGCTTTCCAGCAGAAGATAAGAATCAAGTCCTTGGACTATTGCCTTCCAGCGTGACAAGAATGGTACTTATTGCAATGATACCCAGCCAGCTGAGAAAGTCAACTTGATAAGTCATTACTTACTAAACTTATACAGGCTGTGGGATTAGTAGGAAAGAAACAGATGCAAATGCTCATGTTTACAAAGTCGAGATTTTTCTGACAAACATATCCGCAGTTTTGCCTAATCAAAGTTATTAGTTAAGCATATCAATTTAGTAAAGGCATAAGCCATTGTAGACATCTCAGGCATTCCAGTTTAGTAAAGATGCAACTCTTTGCGGAAGTCATCTTTGCACCCACCTTCTCTGTGGTGTTTTTTAAATATCTAAAAGAGTTTGTATATTATCTCTACTGCTTATCACTTAAAAATCAATTAACACTTTAAAAATGTTCAATACAGACATAGTTTTGTTCCGTTATCTTATTGCTTAGAAGCTCTGTGAGACCAACTGCAAAATTATAGGCAATATAAATCAGTATTTAAATTATATATTACATGTTTATTATGGGTGCAATTTAAAAAAAAATTACATTGTATGAAAAATCAGAAGTATTTACAATTTTTGTAAGATAAACTTGTATGCTCTAATTTACAGTCTGACGTAGTAACAATTAATAAAAAATCAGATCCTTTAGAGTTGTGTTTACAAATCAGTTTTCTTAGGAGGCAGCTACAACAGATACTGCTGTATACACAAGCAAGAACCAGCTTGCTACATGTTTTTTTATCAGATAGCTACATGTACTTTTTACATTGTTTTTGAATTTCTTTACAAAAAGTCTATATAAACTTGTATGGCTTCAAAATTGTAACCTGCACCCAATGCAAATGTATGTATAATCACCTGAATGAAGGCTAGTTTAAAAGTGCTGAAACATAACTACATCATTTAACTTAGAAATTAAAGTTATATTTGATTAAAAATAGCAATGCAGTTTTGGGTTTTCATTAATAAAATATTTTCATGTTAAACACAGTTTGATTGCAAAGCAGATTACAATTAAGATTCCAGTAAAAAGACTGTACCATTTTATGCGTTAAAAATTTACCATTCAATAAGATTAGCAAATTAGGAGCCAAATATACTCTTCCAATCAAATCTACAGTACACTATATGCTTAGTGCTAACAATGGAACTCTTGTCTGCAAAAGTGTATAGCATACATTAGAATTTATGTAGCTGCTACAAAGCTTAATTTCTTGTAAAGCTTCAGCAGTCCAATTCATTACTGGTTTTACAAGAATTAGTCCACGCATGTTTTACTGTTTTAGTAGAATTTTTTAAATACATACTGGTATTAAAAATGGTCATATGAAATTCCCACATGCAGGTTATTGAATTGTTTTGCCCCAATACTTTTGATTTTGACATTGAAGAAACATTTGATAATATAAATATGCAGAAGATTTTCTAAATTAGTGACTTGCTTTAAAAAACATTGCTAATGTGTCACTTCCCTGTGCTTAGGCTGTGGCAAGCAAATTAGATGACAACACAAATATTAAAATTGGTGGTTATAGAAAAAAATTAGCTAATAGAAATGGCAGTACTTGTCATCCTGCTGCCATAAAATACCCTTCTAAAATGCTATTCCTCCCAAAGCATTACGTTTACATTCACATCACACAACCCCAAAAGCACCCAAAGTCCAAAGAGTTGCAGTCAAAGTGAAGGGAAATGCTGTTTGCTTTTAGAAGTTTGTTTTTATCATCTTCAGTGATTTTTCAGGATTCTGATCTTTGGTGACATTAAGGTTATTGTCTCAAAGTTTCAAAGTCCTGCATGATGCATTTCCCTTTACTACAGCCACTTTTATTGCAATTACCCCATGAGGAAGTAATCCAGTATTTTAAACCTCTTTTAAAACAATCTCCAGTTTTTGCAAATCTGCCTTCTAAATAAATCCCAGTCAAAGGAATTTTTATAAAGTTGTGTGTATTATACAAATACCGTGCTTTCTTGATGAAGAGCCAAACTTTGACAAAGGAAGTGAGGCACGTGAATAACAAATTGGATAGGCACAGGCTTTTTTTCAAGGCACAAGTGTTATGCAATTCATATAAAAATAAATTAAATCTACAGCATTAATTCAAACAATCACAACGCCCATAACATTTACTAACTGCAGAAGTAAATCTCTGCTGTCTTTTGCAATTTTGTAACACATTGCACTTAGGAAAAAAACCCCAACTTACATGTTAATAATATATGATACACGGGCATCAAGTTACATTTCTTTTATACATCTTTAACTCAGCTGGTTTTGTGGCATGAGTGGATAGAAGAACTACATGAGATTTGCCTTTACTTTCTTTAAAAACTGGCAATTAAAGAATCTGAAAAATTAATATTACTTACAGAAAGCTCAGATATTTCTTACTCTCCTACATTTTTAGGCTTAAAGTTTACAGTATAACATACAATTTCATACTTTCATTACAACTATGGATTACTATTTTGATTGCATCTATATAAATTTACTAAAATTTCAACAAATTTTCCCAAATATTGCAGTTGATCATTTACAGACAGTGTAGAAGTTAACTTCAGTGCTATTATAAAGTAATAAAAAGTATGCAAAATTACTTTTAAAAGTGCATTTTCTGTTCGTAATTCAGCCTCAAAGTAGGTCAACATTTAAAAAAAATCAATGCATGTTAAAATAGTGTTTGAAAAGTAGAGATGGCAGAGTGAGCTTCTTGCACTCCTTTGATCTAATGACTTTCACATGTACATCAGCAGTCTGCCATATACCGTCCTGAAAAATAAAGATAGGTTTTTTTGCAGTCAGTAGGTAAAACAGATTTTGTTAATATTTTCCTGGGAGCACTTTGAGTAACCATGGCAAAACTAAAGAATTGTGAAACAGTTTTCAGCCATGCAATGAAAATGCAATAAATACTTTCAATGAAAAGTAACTATGCCTCACTTATTCAACAGTTTCATATTTTATAATTTAACACTATAGAATATATAATATTAATTTGAATATATAGGCATGTCAGTGTCTTACCAGTGGCAAATCTCTTCTTAAGGAGGGAAAGACGATAGCCAGCACCTACAAGCTCTACATCTACTCCTGAAAGGGTACTTCCTTCACTAATGAATTGCACTGCAAGTGTTGCTGGTTTACTGGGTCCTTCTGAAAGTTCAAATTTTGCCCTGAGGGATCCAGAACCTGTAAAAATAATGAAACTGAAAAGCTGATTGTTTTTCCAAGAACAGGACAATCTCCTGAAGTTTTTTGTAGTAACAAGTGAAACTAACATGGTGACATTTGAGATCTCTTCCTAGCAGCAATCCTACATAAATTTTCAAAAGACATGAGAGAACAAGTCTGTTTTTTCCAATACTCTGTTTAAGACAATGACTAGTGAATGATTTAAAGGAAACGATACACATTTCTGCAAGATTATAGAAAATATGTGTATCAGAGAGCCTGGTAATCTCTTATTACTTGAAATATCTGATTGGTCCCTATAATCATCATTTATGCTTGCTAGTCTGTCAGTACTTAATACCACCTATCTCGTATGCAGTACTTTTCATTAGCAGATTTGAAAGTATATCACAATATTTAACTGTTGTCAATATTTAACTTGTTGTCATGAACAAAATCACTGGAAGAAACACAGCTATATAGTAATGTACCCAGAAATTCTTATTTTCCTAATAAAGACAAGATCTGATTAAATGCTTTTCCCCACAAATTACAGTTGATTTTTCAGAGACAGTGGTGAAGCGTCATCACTTTGATGCTATTATAAAGCAGTAGTAGTTCAAAATTACTTTAAGTACATTTCTGTAGTAAATGCAAGGCATTTAAAAAAACCCGTAATTTTGTTCCTAGTCTCTTTTTCTAGTTCTTAAACAAGTCTTTTCTTGTTCTTGCAAAAGATGCTGGGAAAAATGAAATTGAAATATGGAATAATGGAATAAATGGAATTGAAAAATGAAATTATCAATGGAATAACAAGAGTCAAGTATTTTTACTTCTTTAAAACAACTTGCTATTTTTAGTCAACTGGAACTGACAAATGACGAAGAAAGTAACTGAAATGGGGTAAAAGCAGGAATTAATGAATGAAATTGTTTTATGCAGTGGCTTGTTCTTGATAAATTTGGCCTAGGGCCCATTTCATTTCTTCAATAGGTCTGTCATAGTTTGGGTAAACTGGAAATTCTTCCCACCGTAAGTATGGAAACTCATATATCCAAGTGCTTTGAAAGTTCGTTCTGTGTTTTCTCTCTCGGTCTGTCATTGACGGCTCACATAATGTGTTGGACTATAAAAAAACCCAAAACATTTTACCACACTGTACACCACAATAAAGGAGACTTCAAGACATTTTCCTAATGTTAACAGTGTTTGTGCAACATCTCCCTTTGTTTCTGTAAGTGTAAGACCAGCATAGTATTACTTCCTCTTAAACACTGAATTTGAGTACCATGTGTTTATACCCAAAGAAAAGGGGAAGAAAGCTCATCTACTAACTGCTATCAGGGGGCTTCACTATTTTTCCTTACAGCTAGTTAATAAATTTATATTTTGACATGTCACTGTTAATGGAATCTCTCAGGAGGAAATTAATTGAGAAGAAGATGAACTGGTAAACATGATACAGCAGGAGAAGACATGTTAACAGGCACGAGGGCGTAGAGGCTAAAATATCTTTTTACTGTTACAATTTTTCTGTACAAGAAAACAAAAGAGTTCAACTTGCCTCCATTTTCAGACTTCTCCGAAATGCTAGATATTTTCCAATATGCTTTCATTTGTTCTGCATTCCTGTAAGGGAATCACAGGTTAGTTATAAGCACCATTTTTAGCATATTATTTCCCTAGATTTACACTGGTATGTTACAGATATCTCTACATGGAGGTTTATAAAAATACTTGATCATTTTAAGGTAAATCTGTGGAAGACTATAAAAAGCAAACAGGAAAAGAGAAGGGTGTGTCTGCATTGCCCCAGAGCAGCAGATCTGAGAAGTACACGCCACCTTTTTATACAATTGACACCATCCTATGCCCTGGCTATGGCTCCGCAACTCAAAACCCTCTGTACTCTTGAAGGGTAAGGACAGGCCAAACACCCTGGAAGCAGTCTGAAAGCTATGTCTTTATGCTTTGTGATGGTGGTATGAGGTGGAGCAATGTGGGTTGCTTTCCCCTGTGTAAGACTCCTGGCAGCATGAATTATATTCCATTTCCATTCTAGTAAAACTAGCTGGCATAAGTGACGCAGGGTTTAAGCTAACTTCTGACACTCTAAAGGAGCAGAAAAGGGCACCAAGCACCAGAGCCTCTAAGGTGACAGGGCATTTTAACTTCTGGAGCACTCTGCAGCAGTTCCATCAAAGGAAAGTCAACAACTTAAAGCTGTGAGCAGCATGAAGGGCTGATAGGTTTGAAATTGCTTTTGGCATTGCTGTAGCAGGAGTGAAATGCTCACAGAAGTAGCACAGATGGTAGCAGTTACTTGCAGGAGGTCAAGTTATAAAACATTTTTAAAAAAACAAAACCCCACCACCCAGTCCAGTAGACCAAACAGGTAGCACAACACAAATACTTGAGCTGCCTGGGACGTGACTGTTTTTCTTTTTTTTGGTCAGCTTTCCCAGCTCAAAATTCTGGCCTTGGGTAGTGCCTAGGTGAAAAAGAGAATTTGGGATCAAGTCCCTTAATATGATAAATCTGTAATGAAACTGTGTCACTAAGACTTGAGTCTTCCTAGCTAAGACCTAGGCTAGTGTTCTGGGTGGGTGTTCCTGCTCTCACTCAGGCTTCATTACAGAGGGTTTTGTGGAAGAAGCAGCAGGAAGACTGGCTTCACCAGATGTTCTAGTCATGTTGTTCAGGCATGGTACTGACCCTGCCCTTGCTCTGAATAAGCTTAGGTGATTTGATTAAAAGTATTGCTCCCTTGAAATACCAAGTCAAGAAAGATTCAGTCTTGCCAGAATTTTTTCCACTTAAAATGATACTGTATTTCTACTTTGTCCCATTAACATATTAAAATATACTGCCTCCAGAAATGTCAGAACCTATCTGATAAATGCATCAGGTTTTTTTTCCTTCTGAACCTTGCTTTACAAGGTAAACTTATCTATAAATAACAAGGTTAACAAGACTTCCTTCAACTTGGTGTTCTTTGCCCTCTTCATATTAAAAGGAACCCCCTTGGAAATAAACAGTCCAGGAATTACGTTACAGCTGGGCAAGAATCTACGTGCTGCCAAACCACAGGCACAGTGGTTGAATTCTGTTCACCTTTTGCTCCAAGGATGTACTGCACTGCCTAGTCCCACTACCCTCTGCTTGTTTTCACAAACTTGTAGAAACATCATTACCTGAGATATGTCTCTCACTTTCAAGCGCTATTGTAAATGCAGGCTTAGAAGGTGGTGACAGGTAGCTGCTAGTCAGATAATAATCTGCATGACACTTTAATTGAGAAACAATGCCTACCTGGCTTATAAACAGTCCTCAGTTACTGAGGTTTGTTTTAAAACCATTTCAATTAGAATCTAGTTGTTAAGCTAGAACAATCAGGAAATCTTTTTAAGAACTGCATTTCTTCTACTCTCTCTATATGGATTATAAATATAGATACATTTATGCACACACATAATGTTTTTTAACAATTAAGAGAATTTGGTTTCAAATTACTATATTAAAAATGTCTATCCTGTCTATTGGCCAAAAGAAAGCAAACATTGGAAATTTCATAAAGGGTTGTGTTATTATATAGTTGGAATGGGTGCATATTGTCTCATTTTAGTGTATGTGAATTGTCTGCACATGATCTGTTTCGGACCAGAGAATGTCCTAGACATCTGATACTATGCATTTTATCAGAACAAAAAAAATGAGCTGTTTCTTCCAGTGAAATTTTTCAGGCTATGTCACAAATGAATACACTGAAATGAATCTGAAATAATAAAAAGAGAAGTATTAGTATTACCATTTTGCAGGTGGGAGTGATTGCATGTTTGTTACTCCTCCATCTACTGGTACCACAACCTGGACATTAGACAGCACACTAGGCATATTCATAGACTCTGGATTGTACTTATAATCCACTCTCACATCAGTAGTGCTAGCATTACATTTCCAGTAAGTTGCAAGATTCAAGGGAGTGGACTGGATGCCATTTGAAGATACCTGTAAAAGAATAAACCATTGAAAGCAGCTTAATTAAAATATTCCCCTTTGGGGCAGAATTAGGGAATGATGGTAATGAATATAACTCTAAATTCTGACAAAAGATCAAGAGAACAATTGACCTCTGAGTCCTTAATTGCAGAATTCTGAAGACAGTTGCAGCCTAAAGTAATTTCTGTTCTTTTAATTTTAAATTAAAATAATTACAGAAAAAGTTTAAATTCCCTCTGGCCCATAAGGTTCCTTCCTGTTCTGGTTTTTATAAGTCAAAATAGTTTTTTTTTCAGTCTTGTGTTCTGCCTCACACAAGAAGCATGCTTGCAGCAAAATGTCTTCATCCTTAGCAGTCGTGTGCCATTACAATCAGCTGCCCAAGCAGCCAGCAGCAGAGGGAAATACCTGCATTAAGGCACAGGCAGCCAGCAAAACAGTTCTTACCTATTCAAAGCATTAATTTCCTGCTGCAGGAGGGCTGGATGCTACTTTTGTAGCTGAGCTTGTGCCACTGCCCTGCTGCATCTCTACCACCTTTCTCGTCTACTTGAGGAACCTTCTATGTCCTGGTGCCCTGTCTCGCATTTCCTTGGCAGCCCAGAACCTTTCCTATCTGCCTTATTTTTCCCCCAAGAGTAAAGATCTTAAATAGATACAATTGTTCCACAGTACTCATTTCTGCAATTCAACAAAATATTTTGTTCCTTCCATCTTTCTCAGGAATTCTGTGTGCCTAACATGGTTTTTATAGATTGAGTATACCAAGATTTTAAACAATATTGGGAAGATATGGAAACTACAATGGCATAAGCTGGACTGACAGGTTGTTTTGGTTTTTGATGTAGACAGTTGCCTTGGATGTTCAACCATTTCAATGCAGGCCTAGCAAATCACTGTTCTCCCTTTGTCTATCTGTCTTAAATTTTTATGAAGATTTCTTAGTGACAGGCAGAACATCTTCTCACAGATTCACAGAATAGTTGAGGTTGGAAGCGACCTCTGGAGGTCATCTGGTCTAACCTCCCTGCTCAAGCAAGGGCTGCCTTGAGCAAGCTGCCCAGGTCCATGTCCAGATGTCTTTTAAATATCTCCAAGGATGGAGACTCTACCACCCCTCTGGGCAACCTGTTCCACTGCTTGGTCACCATCACAGGAAAAAAGCATCTTCTGATGTTCAGAGGGAACTCCCTGTGTTTCTGTTGTGCCCATTGCCTCTGGTCTTCTGCCACTGGGCACCACTGGAAAGAGCCTAGCTTTGTCCTCTTTACACCCTCCCTTCAGGTATTTTTATATATTGATAAGATCCCCCCTGACTCTTCCCTTCTCCAGGCTGTGTTCAGCCTGTTGTCTCAGCTCTGTCAGCCCTTCCTCATGGGAGAGATGATCTGGTCCCTTCATCATCTTCGTGACCCTTTACTGGACTCTTTCCACTATGTCCATGTCTCTCTTGCAATGGAAAACCCAGAATTGGACACAGTACTCCAGGTGTGGCCTCACCAGAGCTGAGTAGAGGGGAAGGATCACCTTCCTCGACCTACTAGGAATACTTTGCCTAATACAGCCCAAGAGACCATTTGCTGCCTTTGCAGCAAGGGCAGTTTGTTGGCTTATATTCAACATGGTGTCACCCAGGACCCCAGGTCCTTGTCTGCCAAGCTGATTTCCAGTTGGGTGGCCCCCAGCATATATCAGTGCATGGTGTTCTTCCTCCCCAGGTGCACTTCTTGTTGAACTCAATGAGATTCCTTTCAGCCCATTTCTCCAGCTGGTTGAGGTCCCTCTAGAGGACAGAATGACCGCCTGGTGTATCCAGAGGGTCCTCCCAGTTCAGTGTCATCAGCAAACTTGGTGAGGGTACACACTGCCCCACCATCCAGATCATTAATGAAGCTGTTAAACAGGACTGTAAACTCAGTATTGACTCACTGGCCTCCAACTGACCATCACCCTCTGGGCCTGGCCGTTCAGCCAGTTTTCAGTCCACCTCAGCGTCTGCTCATCCAGCCCCAGGCTCCTCCTCCCCCAGCCTGTACTCCACCAGCTACTCTATGCGGATGCTATGGGAGACAGTGTTGAAAGTCTTCCTGAAGTCTAAGTAGACAATATCCACTGCTCTCCCCTCATCCACCTCAGGGCAGTCATTTCATCATAGAAGTTATCAAGTTGGTCAAGCATGACTTTCCCTTGGTAGATCCATGCGGACTACTCCTGATGACCTTCTTGTTGTTTGTGTGCCTGTAAATGGTTTCCAGGATGAGATGTTCCATTATATAGTGAGAGGTCAGAATATCGTATGTTCTCATATATTACAATTCATGAGCTACAGTGTCCAAAACTTATGCAATTACAAAATCAAAGACAGTACAACTACAAACTCAAACAAACCCCGACAAAAACACCTACATTAAAGGAAAATTTGACTTTGCTAACAAATACCCAAGCAAGCACTGTTTGAAGCTTGCACATGTGAATTGGAGTGACATGTGAGGCAAGCTGAAACAGATCATGAA